CTGAGTTGAATCATCCGCCTGCTCATCCTGTCTCCGCATGAACGATGGACATAAATCAAAAACCCGACTTGGCTATATTTTACCTGGTTTGAATTTAACTTCAACTAGTCATGTATAATAATGAAGATGCTGGTGGACTTGGAAAAGGAGGAGGTGAGCATCAAGGAGAGGCGAGAGCTGCCCGAGGACGTACTTGGCAACAAGAAAGGAGGAAAGGGCAGAGGCAAAGGAAACAAGAATAAGAAGACCGGCAAGGCGGGTCAGAATCTCAGACAAAGCCTAAACCTTAAGACCTCATCCCTATACACATATATATATATATATATATATAAATGCATATATATATATATATACACGTATAGCTTTAGACCCCATTCAACCCTAAACCCAATTTTGGTGATTTACTCATGTCAGGGTGGCGAGGAAACCACCACACCCGTGCCAAAGCCCAAAAGCGAGCAACAGCTCTGCCAAGCCATCCTCAACAAAGTTGCAAACAAAGTGCTCGAAGCGAAAAGCTGGCGGAAGCAGCTCGAGGATGCCGGCACGTGCCTCGGGCTTTTTCTTCTAGATTATATATATATATATATATATATATATATATATGTAGAACAGATATGGTTTAAGTATGCAGCCTGCCCTGCTGGTCATAGCTTCACAACGTACATATATATATATATATATATATATATATATATTGTGTATATATATATGTGTATATATATATCTATATACACGTAATAATGATATCTACATTATATATATATATATATATATAAATGTACATTTTATTGTCAGTCTTTGCATATGTATCTTCGTGCAAAGGCCCAAGAACACCCTGGACAGCTTGCTCACTGACCTGGAGCCGTTCCGCCTGGATATGGAAAAGAAGCGGTACAGCCTCGAGAATGTGTACAGCTCTCGAAGCTGGGACATGTGCACACAGCACAGGATGGCCCTCGAGCAGAGCATCAAGGAGTACATGGATGCCTGCAAGCACGTGACGATCCATACCAGGACGGCCAAGCAGAAAAAGTGAGGGCCGGCAGGCTAGATCTAGTTGGCGATGTTGATCGGTCACATCCCCAGCAGCATTGCGGATATAAAGTTAAAGCACACCGGGGCACTAGACTTTATAAACATGCATATGTATATATATATATATATATATATGTGTCTGTGTCTGTGTCTGTGTCTGTGTGTGTGTGTGCATGTGTAGCTAATATATATATGTAGCAGATATATATATATATACATGTGTGTGTGTGTCCATTATAATGAACTTCATGTTGTTACATCGGTTATTGTACTTATGTAGCACACTCAGATTTGTCGCAAAGCACTGCCGGGGCCTTTGGTGTCTGATCGCTAGTTTTGGCCGACGGAAGATCGACTCGCTGCAGCGGCAGCCATGAGAGGAAAAAGTGGGTATCCTTCAGTGCCAGGTTGCAGTGTCTGCATCTGTGAGAATCCATCTTTCAATCCGACAGTATGTTTCGTGTTCCGGATTCCCCCTTCGCAGGCGACCCTATCTCGGCCATTTTGCTGGAGAAGGTGGGTGGTGGTGTGCCTTCGCTTGCAGGGGGACTAGAATACATAAGTATGTGTATAATAACATATATGGGTTTAGGGTTTGAGGTTTTAGGGTTTAGGTTATTTCTATTTAAACTGAGGATATCTCCATGGCTGCAGCGAGGGACATATGCGGAGCCATCCAGCAGGCAGCTCGCTCTAATCGGCTCGGCTGTTGCAGTTGCTCCCACAGCATAGGGTTTCAGGGTTAAGCTGGGTCGGGGAGGGCGGGAGGGCTCCGGTAGAAGCCAGGGAAACCTGCTTGCATCAGCAAGGTCTTCGACAAAGCTACACCGCCCGATGTGCTTAAACTGGCTGCTACTGGAGCTCAGGGCAAGCATGCGGGGAACATCCACAGGGATGCCTTTCGACAGTTCAAGTCGCCCGACACCTGGCTTGCATCCAATATATATATATATACATATATACACACATATATATACATACATATATATATATATATAATGACTACACATATAAGTAGATACACATACAATTAATACAGCTATGATGGCAAACATTCTGCTATCCGTTTCTACACATTAATTACACATATGTTTTATTTAAACAAGAAAATCAACGACGAGGTGCCTGTGCACTGGGTGGAAGCACCGGGCCTCGACGACCAGGGCAAGCCTACGATGCTGCAACTTGAGTGCAGGGTCACACGGAATCCTTTATCTTGGGTCTTATATTATCTATATATATATATAAGTATATATAGCTAGACAACTACATAAATATATATATATATAGATAGATGTGTGTGATATATATTATATATATATAGATTGCCTAGGTGTATGCCTAACACACAATATAAGTTGATATTTATTATTTGGTGCAATGAGGCAAATTCCCTGTGTCGCCCCGCACGAACTCGTTCCGTGGCTCCACGAGCAAGGGCTAGCCCCCAAAGCAGATTCCACCAAGCGATACTGGGCCAAATTGGACACACCACATCCTGGAAAAGCTGTGGAGAGCGAGCCGTTGTTTTTGTATGGGGACTCTGCCCAGTTTACTAAATACGGCGATCATCTTCTTGGAGCTTTCATGGGATTCGTGATGTCCGAGCACAATGGTCTTGCCTACTCGAGGTTCGCTCTGTTTTTCTTGCAAGATCGGTTCAGTGCTGGCCGATCCACCGAGCAGCCGCTGTGGAGGTTCGTGGTGGAGAGCCTGCAGAAACTTGTTCGCATGCCAGGCAGTCCTATGGTGACAGAACTCCGAGGCGACTGGAAGTTTTTCGTTGATTGCCTGGGTCTGAAAGCAACACCGACGAGCAAGGAAGTGTGCTACAAGTGCAAGTGCACCCTGGCAAGTGGCCCGATGAGTTACGGCCAATTTGGCCTTTCCGCTGCCTGGATGCGAACCAGGCGGAGCAATGTGGACTTTCTGGCCAATGTGCTTCCGGTGCTGGACTCCCCGGAAAGTTCGCCGCTTATCTGGATGCCAGGTTTTAGCATGCACATTCTTAAGCAGTGCTGGATGCACACGGCCCATCTTGGAGTTGGTCTTTTTGCTAATGGTTCGGCAATGAAAGTCTTGCTGGACCGGGAAGTGTGTGGTGCCGGCCTGACCAAAGATCAGGCTCTCCGGGCATTATTCCTTAGGTTCAAAGGCTGGCAAAAGCAAGTGAAGGTCAGGGTTGCTATGCCGCCATTCAGACACTTTCTCTTGAAATCCGACCTGGAGCAGATATTTTACCAGTCCAAGGCCCACCACAGCAGAATCATCACGTCGTTTCTGGCTGCTATCCTCTCAGAGGAAAGCAAGAAAGCACCAGCTGATCTGGAGCTCCTGAGAGCGAGTCTCTGTGTGCATCTCCTGTCGGAGCTGTACAACCGTGTGGAGCAAGGCAACAGGTTCTTGACGGAGGAGGCTTCTCTGTCAAACTTTGGAATATGATATATATATATATATATATATATATATGTATACTCGTTATATATAGTATAAAAGATATATTACATATATATATACATATATCTATATATTATTTAAACTATACCTTTATAGATATATGCATATATATATGATAGTGATAATGATATAATAATTATATGATAATAATAGTAATAATAATTATGAAAGTAATAATAATATATAATAAACAACATATGCTAAATAGTATGTAATGTATAACATATGTATACATATATATATATATATATGTGTGTTAATATACAAAAGTTGCATCTTAACAAATATATATATATATATATATATATATATATATTATTAAGTGCATGACACATAATATATGAATCCCCATCGATGCCGAGGAAGACGTGGAAATCCGCAGCCTGGGCCTTCGATTCCTGGAGACCTATATGCACTGTGCAGCCACCTCCACCAACCCGCACCTGTATCAGCTGATTAATATTCTGTCTAATTCTATGTGAAAAGAGTTTTGGGTCTGTGTCTTTTTATATATTTATCTCTCTCTTTCTCTCTGTCTCTCTCCCCACATTTTTGAAGCTGTCGGTATCCATCTATTTAAAAATTTCAGTACTTCTACCCTGCCCAAGGTTTATGTGGAGCCTGAGACCGAAGCACCACATGCTGCAGCACATGGTCATGGAGCTTGCCGAGACCCGCTACGAGGATGATATATATATATATATATATATATATATATATTACTCAAGGACAATTCCTTTCATGGTGCGACTGTTTATAAGTGATAACATATCTTGTAGCTGGTAGATACATATACATATATATATATATATATATATATATATATATATATATATATTCCAGCGACTACCATATATATATATATATGAGTTTGTTATATGTATTTTCAGTCCAGCTAATATGCAGCTGAGGTTATAACTTCAGGTTTTTCCATACGTATGCTGAAGAGGGGGCTCTTGGAGTGGCTGTGGATATTGCCAAATCCTCGCATCGAGGCACGGTCGAGAATCAGATCCTCTCCAAGCAGTTGCTGCGACTGCAGGCTTTGATGCAAGGTCACTGACGGCACTGGCGGGCCATGCTTGCACGTGCATGAACGAGAGCTCCGGAGCAGATAGCGAGCTCGTGAAAACAGTTCTCCTGCATCCGAGACTTCCTGAAATATATATATATATATATATGTATATGTATATACATATATGTATCTATATATATATATATATATATATATATATATATATATAGATGTAAACCCTAAACCCAAAACCCCAAACCCCTGAACCCGAAACCCTGAAGCCCTGAACCCTAAACCTTAAACCCCTGCCCGTGAATCCTAAAGCCTAAACCCCAAACCCCTCGGATGCAGTCAGTTCACTCACGGGGGGCTGCAGCAGGACTGAAGTGTCACATGCCTGCCAGTCTGAGCGAAGCTTACATGCAAATATATGATGCTCAAGCAGTTAAATTTTGGTGCCTTGAGGTTTTTCCCACTCTTACCTCTCGGCATGGCAGGGCCAACATGGATGGTGAAGATGGAGCTGCTCGGCTGGGGATCGAGAGCTGCAAAGGCGGTCAACGACCTGGAACGGCATGGCTGGGACAGGATGACAGTGTTGGTACACGGACTGCCAATTGCAGAGAAGGACCGGTTGCATTGGCTTGCCATGGGCAACTATACGCCTCACGGCAAGTGGGTGAATCGCTTCCTGACGAGAGTGACTTGCCCAACGGTGGTAGCCCTCACGGGCATGTCGAAACCAGAGAATCTGGCCAAGCACTCATATAATATATATAGATATATGAGTATAATATATGATTCTTTTTATATACATTAATATCAATATATATATATATATATAGAATATATAAATAAATAAATATAAATAAATAAATATATATATTTATATTTATACATATATATATAGTATTATTATTATTAATTATACATAATATTATACATAAATATATATATATATATGTTGTTTGTGACCTTGTCACGTGAAATCAAACCTTTATCAATAACTATTCAACTTTCTGACATATTCTCCGTTTTGTATTTCTTGCGGGTGGAGCTTAAGATGACAAGATTTTTGTTTCTCGGCATCTGAGGACATGCGACCGCTTCATCGAATCCGCTATGGGTTATGCACTGGAGCACAAGCTATGCGACATCGTCATGGCCCTCGACGAGCTGCTGTTGTGCTTCGGGAATTTGGTCCCATACCTCTGTCGCTAGGCTGCATATTATATATATATATATATAATAAATATATAAGAAACAGACAGATATATAAATATGTAAATACATATGCCATATGAACTGATTATAATTATAATAATAATGGTTCTTGTGAAGCCTATCTATATATATACATAGCAGGAGCTTTCGCCTTTAGCTGAATTAATTTATGTATATATAGATATATACATATATTTCCCTCGGAGCCTTATCCAAGATGACGACATCAAGAGAATGGAGGAGCCCAGCATGTCTCAACTGGATCGGCTCATCCAAGACATGCCACTCGTGAACCAGACCCAGGCCCGGCAACCCTACAGCTCTCTCTCTCTCTCTCTAAATAAATATATATATATATATATATATATATGGCCTGAACCCTTCAGTCCTAAACCCTGAGCCCTGAACCTGAACACTGTACTCTCCCTGAGGTGGAGGTTTGAGCTGGCCAAAGTCTTCTTCACCAGAATTTGTGGGGCACCCACCGGGAATAAAACCCGTGCCCACGGCCTAAGGCCTACCTTCGGGTTTGCAAACCCAGGAAAAGAAGTTCGAAAGAATGCTGGACGTTTATATATATATATATATATATATTGCTTCGGATATGAATAATTTCCAAAGCATTTGGGAAATAACCTTGAAACTTATTCTAGGACTGATTTTTTTACATACTTATTGATTGATTTTTTCTGATCCTTTCAGCGAATCTGCATCGGATATGAATAATCTTCAAAGCATTTGGGAAAGAACTTGCAAACGTATTCTACGACTGATTCATTTTACATACTTATTTACTGATCTTTCTGATCTTTTCAGCGAATCTGCATCGGATATGAATATTTTTTAAAGCATTTCGGAAAGAACAAACAAACCTATTAACACATTTTTTGGACCATATATACTGATTGTTTGACCTGTATATCAACATATGAATATTGAGAAATACAGGGAATGACATGCATTTCCTGGATTGAATACATTTTATACATCATATATATTGACATGCATTTCATTCAACTTACATGATTGTCCAAGTCCTTGTATTTCCAGCACTTACACTAAAGGCCTTGGATTCTGAGGTCTTAGCAAACATGGTCACATTTGAGGTCTTCGGATGCTTAGGGTATTACGCCTTAAACCCCAACAATTAGAATCTAGATGAACACAGTCCCCATGCGCAGTGAAGTAAAAGGGACCTCGGGGAAGTTCATACTGCGTGCGGATTTCGATCCTGGCAGGCATCGGATCTGGTGGGACTCCTGTGACTGGTTGGAAAGCAGGCTCACGATCCGTTTGAGTAGACTGCTCACGCACTGCAGGGCGGCGACGAGACTGTGTGGCCTTGGGCCGTAGTGCAGCAGGCAACTCGTGGGAGGACTGCGAAGGCACAGGTGCCCTCTCGTTGTGAGCTGTGGACTCACCTGCTGGTGGTCTGGAAGACACGTCCTCAAGACTCATGCCCTGCAGTTGGGCAGCAAGCTCATCCTCAACAGCTCTCTGCATACGCCGCAAGCGCCGGGCTCGACGAGACGACGCATGCGAACCAGCCCACCACGCATCAAGCCGATCCCACAATCTCTTCAACCACTCCCACACAACAAGGACACAAACCAATGCCATGCCAAGAACGAAGTAAAGCTCCAGGGATCCATCAAGCTGCAAGCCGGGATACTCGGATTCACGGCTCGAGCTTCGCACAGGTTGGATCTGAAGCAAACACAACAAGGCACTCAACGCGACTGGGTCGACAGCTGCTGACGAGCTCGGCCTGACCTCTCGGTCGGCTGTATCACCCACAAAGTCACGCATGCCCCACAACCTGACAAGTTCTTCAATCCTTGCAGACGGAAGAGGTTTGGTCAGTAGATCTGCAAGCTGTTCCACACCCGGGCAGAAGGCAAGCCTCAGCTTCCCAGAGCGAGTCTGCTCACGAAGGTACTCAGCTCTTACCCGTAGGTGTCGCGTTCTCCATGATCCATGACCATCAGAAATCGCAAGTGACGCTTGGGAATCAACGTGCAACACCCTTTCTTCGGCAACGTCAAAACCAACCGTGTGAAGCAACGCCTCAATTGATTCAAGCGCGATTGCACACTCAATCGAAGCAGTGAGTTCACTTTCAGCAGTAGAAAGTGTCACAAAAGCCTGACGCGCCGACCTCCAAGCAACTGGACATCCATGCACACACACGCACCAGCCTCCATGTGAGCGAAGGCCTTCTGGCGAGAAGCTTGCGTCACTCCAACCGTGAAGTTGGGTTCCGTCCGCCTCAAACACCAGCGACGCTGTCTTGGTTCGCTGCAAGTAAGCCAAGGCACGGTCAGCAATGCGTAGAGCACGACAAGGCGCCTTCGTAGACAAACTAGCAAGCAAGCTGGCAGTGAACGCCAGGTCCGGGCGAGTACGTTGAGACAACCACAGCAGTTCACCAGTTACCTGTTGCGCGCGGTGAACGGCCTCCCCGTCAGGGAGGCTGGAGTCTCCTTCGCCAACTTCAAACGACGCTAGCTCCCGAGGACAAGGGATTCTACCCCTCACGTGGCAAGGTACCTCATGAAGCCGCAAGACTTCTTCTGCGTACGACTGCTGTGAGAGAACAAACCCACGGGGAATGACAATGATGTCCACGCCAAGGAACTTGATCGGCTGCTCTGGGGTAGCTACCACAAACGGTGTTGTGGCCCACTTTTCTTGCAGAGCCTTGGCCAAACTTTGAAGGACACGCGACCCACACAACAAGAAGTCATCAACGTACACCAACAATGCGCCCTCAACGCGACCACCTTCAACCCTGACGACTTTCCACCAGTTCGGGTCTAGGGTCGAAGGCTCAAGCCGGTAGGTCACGCCGTCAAGGTCCCACACCAACGCTGCCAAACAAGCATCTCGATACTGTCCCCACAAGCGCGGGGCCTCTCGAAGGCCGTAAACCGCGTGGGATAGTATCCACAGCTCATGTGCAACTGCAAGACCAAGCTTGACCAACAAGCGGGGCGGGGTCAACGCAAAGATGGGGAAACCTTCAAGACAAGGAATAGGCGTTTTGAGGAACGCGCTGGTGATATCCAACACTCCCAACAACCAACCAAAGAAGCTTGCCAGGGCAATCACTGTTCTCAAGCTCTCAGCCTGAGCACCTCCAGCATACACATCCAAGCCTGTATTTGGCGCCACATTTCCGCAAGCAACAAGTCTCGCTTTCCGACGGTACAAACCTTGGCCTTGCGACGAAGCCTTTGGAGCGCCCTGAAGGGCCTCTGTACTGTTGTCGGGCTGAGTGAGCGCAAGCTTTCCAGTGTCACCAACAGCTGCTGCCCCTTGGTCGGGCGGTTTCACTGTGAACACAAACTTGGAAGGTACCACCTGCAGTCGAGGATCACTCAAGTACTCGGCCTGCCTGGGGTCTGAAGGGCGCAGTCTGAGCACCGCATGCTCAATGGCCTTTACTTCTTTCTCAATGGACGGAATCCAAGGGATTGGATTGAGTGCGACTTCTGCGGGGTCTACAGTGTGAACGATTTGCAGAGGTGAGCTTAGATTGCTTAGAAGGTGTTCTATGTTCTTCGTGAACGTCGGTTCGGCTTTGCACAGGCGGTAGGGGATTACGGGTCTACCTTCGCTTACGAAACCCTCCTCCTCTAACGAGCTCCGCGAACCACTTTCTACAACCTTAAGCACCCTCAAACTGCAGTTGCTGGCGTTTGCGGCATCGCTCATGGGCTCCTGCGGAACATACATGTCCCAAGACACAGTAACCGGCCAGGCCTCATCAATCTCAACGGGTCTTTGGTTCTGCTCTGGTCCGGCCTCCTCTTTAGAGGGGCTGCATACAGGGGCAACTGGCCGATACGAACACGACCAGTTCACAGCGAAGTCTACAAACCCATCTGCAACTGGAAAGACCTCTTGCCAACCACCACCTTTGTTGACGGGTTGGCTCTCCGGGAAGCTAGGGTGTTGATGGATAGGGATCTCATGAGCCTCAGTGGCCTCCTCCTCCTCCTGTACTTGAGACAGACGCGGGGCCTGGAGATAGGCGGAGTCTGGGAGAGGAAATCCCAAATCTGCTAAGCCGTCAAGGTCATCTTTTTCGGCCTTTCCAAGCACGTCGGAAGTGTAGCCTATAACAACGACGCGGGTGCCCTTGAAGGGAGTTACGAAATGATGCCGCTTAGGATCAAACTCGAAAACTTCATCCTCTTCAAGTCTGTGCACCACACCGTGACGCTTGCGACCTCGTGCATCAGTGTGCTCTACAATAGACCCCCTAACAACATCCCCACTACCTAACTCAACCCAAAGATCGCCCCCACGCTTAGGAAGACACACTGGTAGGATGAGGTTTGTAGTTCCCGGAAGGTTGGAAGAATCAGTGTGAATGTCCTTTTGACACGAGTTGGACAGACACACCGACGTGAAGGTAGCATCAGGTGCGTGATGCTGCAACAGGCGCGCGCACAGTGAGGCAAGCCACGGCTTACTCCAAGTCGATCGCATACAGCCTACTATCC